TAGCAGGATCTTTTTAGATCTAGAACCTCATTCTCATATTGAGGTGGATGCACAATTTCTAATGTATTTATTATTCTAATTACAAAAGTATTGATGATTATTATTAATAACCTTATATTGAAATAGACTTTAAGTAAAAAAGTTATGGATCTGGGAAATCATCTTAAGGTTCCATATGTGGTAATTCATAACTGGAATATTTACTTACTATTTCTGTTACTCTTAAACATAATAGAAGAACTGGTTGGATTTATTTTCATTAGTAGTAAGGAGGATTAATATCATTAAAATTTAGTATGATTAAATGTTAGTATGAATGTGATGGATGCATTCAGAATTATCATGCAATTTGTTTATAATGGAAACTGCATTAATATTCATTTAATTAGAAAAATATCACATATTCTGATGGATGGACTGTTTAATCATAATTTTCTCGTTACGGAAATTGCGGAAATTGCTAATTTTTGTAGTTTTCTGTAATTAAATATTAAACTTAACTACCTCCTCATTAAGATATATTAATAAGGTTTTTTAAACGAGATGCCTTTATTATAATAGTAGACTATTTATATGGTAAATAAACTATTAATAATAATAATTAATTAATAGAAATATTGATAAGAAATCATCATGATCCTATATTATAACTGAATATTTATACTCAAATACCTTCATAATTGAGTGTGATTAGAGATTTTGAAGTATTTTATACTTAGTCAGAAGTAATTTTTAAGAATTTGAATGAAGGTTGTTTAGAATAAATAGATGATAAATGTCTACTTTGTTAAGAAGGTTGGATATAAAATGAAATTCTAGAAAATTGTCATCCAATTTGTGGAGATGGAATAATTCAAGGTTAAGAATAATGTGATACTCTAGTATCAAATCATTCTTGTTATCAATGCAAATATTCTTGTATTGAATATTGCTAAGTTTGTTCATTTGGAATTTGTTTATAATGTATAGACGGATTTGTAATTAATTCCAATTTTAGTTGCGATCCTCTGTGTGGAGATGGCAATTTGACCCCATATTCAGTTGAATTATGTGAACTGACTGTTAATGGTGTATGGGATGGTTGTCTTGATTGCAAATTTATTTCAATAGCTAATTGTAAGATAAACTAAATTTCAATTTGCTTAGAGTGTGAAGTAGGATATTAATTGTTAGAAAATTCATGCTATCCTTATTGTGGAGACAAATTAGTTCTGTAATAATATGAGGATTGTGATGATGGAAATCTTCAACCTTATGATGGTTGTTATTAATGTAAGTTTTAATGCATTGAAGATTGCAACATATGTGATCGAGGGTAGTGCATTTTAAAATGTGGAGATGGTTATGAGTTTGTTAATAACAACTGTCACTCTATTTGTGGTGATTAAATTATTACAAAAGAAGAAGATTGTGATGATGGCAAT